AGGGTCAAGGTAAATATTTGTTTTTAATCTAAAATAACTTCAGACGTTCTCTCACCAAAATTTGCCTCTCAAAGTGCGGGAAATAACGTTTTTGGTGCCCTGCAATTAAATTTTTCCGGAGGAAAATGTCCCGCACCCACTAGTACGATCTACGTATCGTATCACCCGCGGCTCACTGGATTTGGCGGTGTGTCAAAATACGTCCCCAAATTTAAAAAAATGCGTCTTTGGACGCCTTATTTTTGCCACAGACACTTGGTCGGAGAAGGTCCTTTTTTTTATGAAGATGACTTAGTACTGCTACAGGCGATAGCGGCTGAGTTTACACAAGAAGGAAGCCTACTGCTCAGATATTGTTTCCATTTACACTTATAAAACAATTTAAAACTTTAAAATAATTTTAAACCGCTTGTAAAATGCATTTTCCGCGCTGCGCGGCCACTTGAAATCTGAAATCACACGAACGCCGTCTTCTACATGTAGGTATTACTGCGAGTTGCAAGCTCTGATTGGTTCACCCCCGAAAACCTGCGCTCTGATTGGTTTATCAGCTGTGCATTACGTATTACTAGGTTGAGGTTGTTCTGCTGGCCAAAATAGATCTCGTTTTTAGCGCCCTTCGTAACTATATCGGTAAAAATGAAATCCAGCTCTTCTGAAGACAAAATGCAGTTTATTTTCGCGGCACACCGCGCCCTTCCCAACAACACAACAGTATTTTTAACGTGTGTAGAATCGTGTATGCATCGATATTCCCGGCCCGCTCAGGTCCCGCACAGCGCCGCTCGAATTTCCCGGAGCCGATGAGATTAAACCATACAAGGTAATTTTAATTAAACCAAGGACTAGCTCAACATTTTTGTCCGATTTCAGAATGTCCTACTAAGAAATCTTCTGTAATGTCCTTGGTTGAGGCGAACTGAGATTCGATTGACGAATAGACGAAATGTAGTCGAATAGCGATATTAAACTCAGAATTGTGTACCAGCAAAACAGCAAAAATGCGTTCCCAAAATACAGGAAAAGGCGTTTCCAGGGGGTCAAGATTTTTAAATTTTCCCGGGGAGCAAGCACTGATCCCCTTTGTGTATTGTGGAAGAAGTTCGTGAACGTCATGCAGTCGAATAGCGAGTAAGAAACTTAGCTACAAAGTACTAGAAATCTAGCTTCGTGTAGCAACAATATTTTCCCCCGAAAATGCAGGAAAACACGTTTCAGAGGGTTACAAATCTCTAATTTTTCCGCCCCCCCCCCCCTTCTCTCGGAAAATTCTGGCTCTCAAAGTGCGGTACGTAGCGTTGTTGAGGACGACAAATTAATTTTTGGGAGGATGCCTCGGCGCCCTCGCCCCAAAAAATAGTGCTATAAAATATACTAGTACATGTAATTAATATATTGTTTGGACGTCCTCTACACTCTGGACGGGCGGGAACTTACTCCGGCCGTTGGACGTGTAAACGTCATTTTTTCTTCCAATGTATATTATGGACGTCAGGGGGAGGGTCGAGGAAAAAAATTGAGCTGGGGGGAGGGTGAAGGAAAAAATTTTGGAGCTAAATATCGTACGGTCCCTAAGGGGCCCCCTTGCGACAGGACAGCTCGATTGTCTTTTTTTACATTTTAATATCTGTACATACTTTGATGTTTGTTTCAGTTAAAACAGTTGTTTCTCCTGTTCCTGTCTGACGCTGCAAGGGAAGGAGACACGGACAGAGTGAAGCAGCTGTTAGCGGAGGGAGTCAACCCTAATGCTGCTGGTGGCTTTTTGGTTTGTTGCCATGTCTTTCGTCACTTTGCTTATATATGGTGATGGAACATTTCAGGATGTGCAATGAAAATCAAGAGGCAGGAGGGGAAAACCGCTTATAAAAGGAACAGATGGGAAGGGCAAGGGCGCACTGGTCACTGCACCCGGATTCAGCTTTCAGCTTGTCTGTAACATTTCACAGAAAAAAGCAATACTTACATATTTTGTACCAAGCAGCTCCAACTTTACTTCTATTAGTTTACTTCAGCCCGCCATGATGTGTTTTACAGCAATGGACTCCCCTGCACCAAGCAGTCCTGACTAACCACCATGAAACTGTGTCAGTTTTACTGACAGCTGGTGCAGATGTGAACACACAAGATAAGTGTGTAAGTAGACTGACTGCTGTGATACAAGAAATATATTTATGCCACTTTTTAAGAACATTCATTTTCTATATAGGATTTGCAAATACATGCCCGAGGGCTAATTGCAGTTACAAACAACATAAGAAAGAAAATACAGTGGTATGTGAGACTATATCCACATCCACATCCGTAACATACGAAGTGCATATTTGTATAGCTCTATAGCAGTTTACTTGCTGAATTCTGTTAGAATTGTCAACAAAATATCTGCACATCTGTCCGGCCTATTGTCATGCTGAAGACCATCTGATGTATTTTACAGCAAAATTCTCCCCTGCATTATGCAGCCCGGTATGGTCACCATGAAACTGTATCAGTTTTACTGGCAGCCGGTGCAGATGTGAACGCACGGGACGGGTTGGTAGGTAGACTGATCGCTGTGAAACAAGAAATATTTCTGTATTATCTGCATTGTAAGATTTGACATTGATCTTCTCTTCTTCTTACTTAGTGGTTTATTTGCTGACTACCTTTTAAACTGTTGCCAACATGAAGCTGGTGCGGATTTGAACGCATGGGGCTATACACCATATTATCCACTTTTAGAATACATCCAACATTTTTTGTGTCACAAAGCATGCTTTTATTAAATGTCTACTCTTACTCTTGTCCTGCGGAGCCTATACATAATCAAATACATTATCATGCATATAGTGCCCTGTATATGTACTATTTGGGGCTATTTTCGTGCAACTCATCACACCGCAGCGAAAAGCAACGAATACGGAAGTAAGTACGCCATCACATGGCAAAAAGTCAGGGGTCTATGACCTGATTAAGACACGAAATTATTTTTAAAAATATTGTGAAAAATGTCAGCAGGACAAGATTAAAATTGCAGTGTTACCGTGATTATCCATTATTAGAAACAACCAGTATGAAAGGCAAAGTTAGGGAATGGTCTCAAGCGAGCTTGGTGTCAGTAAGTGATGTAAATATAAACATTCATAAGGAGTTGCTATTTGATCATACTAAAGGATGAAAAATTGCACTGTCAATGCCCCAACAGGAAGAAACACCCCTCCATGACGCAGCTAGATGGGGCCGCCCCAAGTGTGCGGAAATACTGCTGCAGCACGGGGCTGATGCCGGTCTCAGGAACAAGGTCAGTCGGTTCTTCGGCTTCTCTGGTAAATAACTGACAACCTATCCAGCAATACAATATTGGCTTTACTTCTTTTGGGAGAAAAATTAAAAGTAAGACTTTTTTTAGAATGATGAGCCTCTTAAATACATACATACATTACTGACCGAGGCAAGGAGGAAGCTGTTGTTGGAATAAACACACAAATCACGATGTGTTCTGATATTCCTGCATCGTATCACATAAACACCTACATATTAATTTCTTTCGAAACATGGGCTTTGCTGCTATACCTACTGTTTATGTTCTAGATATATTGTCTAGTCATTCAGTCGCGTTTATTTCCTATATTTCAACATTCATAAGGCTATAATTCACTGCATGTTTATTCCCAGGATTCAAACGGCCGAGGACTTCGTTGCAGATGAGAACACCAGGAACGCTTATCGGGAGAACGAAGATGAGGAAGAACGAATTACTCGTGGTAGAAATGAAATACTGAAGCTTCTCCGACAACAAAATAATGTGAGACGCTTCAAAATTTCCGTGATGCATAATCATAAAGCATTTTATCTAAAGAATATATATGACTGTACATTTCTTGTCAAACACTTCGGTTCACATAAAACTGCTGATAATATCAAACTACATGTTGAAGATGATATAAAGTTGTTTTTTTTTTTAGTTTCCCTGGTACGCATGCTAGTATTTGAATTTTTGTATTCTGCTTGGCAGGTTGGAGAGAGATGCCTTATGACTATCATCAGGATTGCGTAGAAACATTTACCTATAATTGAAGTTGGAAGGCATGTGATCTACCTATAGAGACATGTCCAATTTCATCCTACTACAATGGCCAGAGGTGTGTCAGAAAGAACCTTTGTAGAACCGCCCTCATACCAAACAAAATGCACTTTCACTTGTTCGTGTTACAGGAAGTCTCCACACGAAAGAAAGGCTACGATCCTGTACTCGTCCGGTTCTATGAAGAAAGCGGAATGACCGAGGCGAGGAAGGATCACCCGTTGATACAAGAAGCAGCCAAGGAGAGCGGGAAAACAGTTGACCAAGTCATGGTATTACCAAACATATTACACGTCTTACATCCCTATTGACAGAATAACTTTCTGAGGTTAACTACTATAGTCGATATTAATCATTATCAATGGTGGTTAATGAAAGTTGCTGTACATTTCCATAACACCTCTTCCCCAATCCCCATCTACTATTGGTGGCAATATTAAACAGGATATCTTAAATCCAGTCCATTCCCTTTGTCTGGAGCACACACCCCTTCACAAACTGTCTATCCTTAGTCCCAGACCAGGTCCGACAGTATCTTAGGTCAGGTTCCAGATTCGAGACTAGGAGGGGACATCCTCTGATCTGGTTGTATCGAGTTATCGCCAGTTTTGGTCAAACATGTCAAATATGATTTTCAGTGGTTCGATAGTGCCTGTTTCGCCATAACTGGACTTAAACTTTGACAAGTATACCGTGTTTCATAGAGAAATTTATAGACAACAAAAAATTCAGCGACTTTCGTAAGGTAGTCATCGATCGTAGACACAAAGACAGATACGTGGGTACAACAAAATTCATGACCTACGTACAAGACAATAGATGAATCAATTTATTGTCCTTTCAGAACTTCATCGGTAACTACCGTAAGAGTAAAGGCGGCAGTAAGAGGAGACCGCCGCCAGACACGATGGAGAGGAAGAGGAGGATCACGGGATATCACGAGTACTACAGGGAACAGCTGCCAAGGAAAAGGGGTGAGTTGAAACGGCAGTTATAATTGTTTACAAAAATGTTGAACTATTACAATGGCAAGATTCAGTCGATCATTTTATTATCCTTTCGAATACTTTAGTTGTGGTAAATAGAAAGGCAACATTTGTAAATGCAAATAGTTTACCAAATGTAATCGACCACCACATGGTGTCTGCTATAGCACTAGTAACATGGTGACAGACATCTGGTTCAGGTCATTGACCTTGATGTATTTGGAGAAGAAAAAGACGAAACAGAGTAAAACAATATGTTTTACTCCTGCGAAGGTAAACATATAAATGCTTCCTGTGTCACTTCCTGTATCAATGACGTTCACATAATCATTTCATTCTCTTTTCAAATGTTTGCCAAGTTCACTCCAACGTATTTAACTTACTGCATGTTTTGTGACTGTCTTACCACAACATACTGTAGGTACATTATAGATACGGCGTTATGACGCTTACCAAAAGTATTCGAAACATCAACTTTATGGGCATCCACTGAAGTACTGTGTATTGTAGGTAAACGGTATCTAACACTTTGGCATCTTGCATTTTCCTTCAGCCAACCGAGGGTTCTCCCTTGCCGGTGCCAATAAGCTTAAGGAAATCGGCGAGAGCTGGAAGAATCTGACTGACGAGGAAAAGGAGGGATACAACAAAGCAGCAGAGAGGAGAAGGGGCAAAGAGACGAAAGTAAAAACTTCGTCAGAAGTGGCGAAAAAGCTGAAACAGCTCCAAAAACTGGTGGGTGTAAGAATGTGAACATGTTCTTGGACACGTAAAGGATTGTTTGAGAGTAATCATTCAAAAGAAGTATATAAAATACCATGGACATCCCTTGAGTCAAATTGACAGATATTTACGATCCATTCCTTTGCATCGACCTGGTCTAGTCCCCCTATTTGTATCAGAAACAAGTGTTTGTATGTAGGTTCCACCCAGTAAATGCAGTATTTGTTGATATCAGTGACTTCTCAACATATGTATATGGAAAATGGATTACAAATATCTACAGAATGATGCAGTTATCTACTTGATGCTTGGACAATATAGAAGAATTGCGTCCAAGCATTATCATTTGGAAAGTACATGTATAAAATCAATCGGAGCATTGTTGTTACCTTTAGTCCGAGGAGCTTGACGAACTTGGTGTGGAGGCTTTGATGGTTACTCTCTACAATGGAAGGATTCGAGCGTTCGGGTCCCAGAAGGATCTGATAAAGGACGAGAAGTTCGGGGGGTACATCGAGAATCAGCTGAAAGCAGCAGAACATCAGCGGAAAGCAGCACAATGTGAGCCAGCCATCTCCTACATTGGTCATGAAACTGCATAGTTGCCAACGTGGCAAAAATACAATCCATCTATAATCTTTTAACTCATTTAAACTACGTTCCAGCTGTAGCTAGTTGGCTCACTGGGCTGTTATTAACAAACTATATGTTGCTATAGAGGTGAACATTCGTACAAAATTTGTACAGGTTTACCAATGGACAGACGCCGAAGGAGTTCCGGCAGAGAGGGCACCACAGGAACGACTGGAGAGAGCCATGACGTAACCGGGAGGCCCGGGAGCAGCACCAGTTCAACGAGCTGCAGGAAGAGGAGGAAAAAGACCAAAGAGGCACAGCAGGGCAAACGGCAAAATTTCAGTTCTTCTGCATCTTTATTGTCGGCATCTTCACCACAACAAGGTAACAAGTCTATTTTGTTATTTTGAATTTTCCGACGCAATTTCTATACACCAATCATTAACAGTCTGCTATCCGTTAGATATGAATCTTGCCTAGTATGTAGTTTTAGTTGTGTATTGCTTCATTTCGCCCACTTCCTTATGTCATGGTGTAATTTGTAATTATCACAGCCCCCAACACAATTCATATGATACTTACCTAAATTGAAGCAGTTGGACGTTTCCAATTTTAGTCCTTTTTTTTAAATATCAATTTGGATTTACCATGATAAATATTGACTGAGGGAGGGCATACCTTATCTTGAACATAGATGTGAATGTGACTATGTATGTAATCAAATTTTCCAGTTGAAGTCACTTGCAAAAATGTGTTTTTGTTTCTCCAGAGACAGCAGTCACAACAAGACTTCTACCCAAAACAACAGACATACCACAAAACACAGGTACTCCTGTACGTGTGGTATTACCAAAAAGAGCAACATCTACACCTGCACAACCAAACACAGGGAATCTTCAACTTCTGGCACAGCAGTCAGCAACACTTCTAGATCCACTCAACTCTTTCCCTGCATCACCACACAACACAGGGACTCCTGTACAGCTAGCACCACAAGCAACTCCAACAGAATCACAGACAGGTTTTCGCTACTTGCACAGATCCAACATGCCTCTTGAACGTCTGTTACCGCAAACAACTCAAACAGCATTTGCTGCTCGTCAACAGCCAACAGGTGTGGACAATTTGAATTCCTTTGGACTTCCCGACAGAACAGCATCACGGAGCCTACCTGCTGCCCTGCCAACATCGTATATGCAAGGTTGGTACGGTAGTTGGTTTGGAACATCCATACCTTTGTCAGAAGCTGTTTGGCAGACTTTGCCAACATTTTCTTTGTCTCTGCCTTCCTACAACAATTTTGTACATTACCGATATGGCTCTACATACACTGAATGTTGGTAAGTTTATTTGATAATTACCTTGCCAACCTACATGTATTGTTTTGCATTCCATAACAACAGGCTTTGGTATTAGGACCTATTTCATTCAATATTTGAAGTAAACCAGAAAGGCTGCAACTGCATGGATACATGTTTGGCCAATAAAAACCATTATTATTTCCTGTATATGTTAGGAACACCAGCCATGACAACAGGAGGACTCCCACACACGGCACCACAGATCCCCACAGCAGCGAGCTTAGGGACTCCTGTACCATCCCAGGTGACTCCAACGGTTCGTCGGGCACCTACAGGAGCTGGGACCACAAGCGAACAGTTTCCTCCCAGTCCGTTAGTATTTGCAATGCCTCATCATCGCTAGATACAAGCAGATATATCAATACATGTACAGGCCATTACGGAAGTTGTTGTCCAGTAAATATGTTGTAGTATGCTCTATCAAATAAATTACATACACATGTATTAAAAAGTATGGATCGAAGTGTGTATCTAGATAAGGCATTATAAGAGTCCTGAAAAGTGCCATCTTCTATTAAGACGACAGCATTCAGGTGCAGTACACCGGTACCTGACCTCTTTGTTTACTACCTGTGTGACCTCGGGCACCTGCCTCTGACGTCACTGGTCGCTAGGATACCAGGTCAGGGCGGGGGCACGTCGTACGTGTCAGTAGAAAGTGAAAGAGTTTCTGCCGCCTTTTGGAATTTCCTGCGTCAAAATGGGACTTTTTAAACGCGCTAAACTATTGACGCTGTGGCAGAAATGCTAAAGAAGCCGACTGTTGGAACAGGGTACAATAGAGAGGGTTTGATTCACTCTGTGGACCAGTTTTGTTCAACACCCTGCCTCGGAATGGAACCATTCAAGCGGCCATGTTGGTATGGACAGAAGTATGACGGATATATTATATTGGTGAACATGAACGACATAACTATGGCTAAACAGACTATTTAGGACCTAAAGCTCAGTTTGGGAATGATAAGGATGCTTTATTTTCTGGATCTGCAGATTGCATAGAAAATAGGTGAGTAACCATAGTGCTGCACGTATGTTTGTAATGTAATGTAAAGTAATGTAATGTAAGTTTGTTTATCCAAGTGAAGTAACGTTTGTTGCTTCCAGTGAAGACACAGTAGATCAGAAGTGATCATTTCTTATTCAGTGTTTTAGATTTGTAAGGAGTAATCAACACTAGGAGTGCGAGTTTGCTTTATGACATGTAGGTTCTAACTTTTGTGAATGACCAAATGTTGATTCACAGTAATATTTTGATATTCTTTTGCCTAATTTACAATACTTTGATCTGCAATAAACTAGATGGCTATGCAATGTCTTTGTGTACTCTATTTTTACCATTCCATAGTAAATTTAGTTTAAAAGGAGATAGCTTTGCCTTTCTATATATAAACAGGCAAGTATTTCTTCAGATACTGCAATCTACAAATGCTGTAATGTGTCCAAAATGAACTGACAGCATTTTATTGTTGAACTGCAATGGCAGCCATACTCTTGAACGTAATACATATCTGTGAATCTTAATCATATACACCAATGTCCTATTTTGTGTCATTCTGGAATAGAGCTGTGTACCTAAACAAATTTTAGGTACAGGTACAGGTACAGGTACACAGGTTTAGGTACAGGTCCGGACCTGAACCTGTACCTGAACAATTTGACAATTTATATGCTCTTCTGAACTCCTTCAATAACAAAAAAAAAACATAAATAAACTTGATAGTTAAGGTTTATTCTTTGTCTATGGCAAATTCTCAGATAAAATATAGGCAAAACTAAGAGTTTTTGTTTTCATGAACACACTGTCCTTACACAGGGACCCATTGTTAACCAGCTATTTACACATTTGAGGTCACAAATAGGCATAAAATTGGTGTGAAATTGTTTAGGTACAGTACCGGTACGGAGGGATTAGGTATTTTGGACCTGTACCTAATCATTTTTTCCGGTACAGTATCGGTACTGCGTACCGGTACACAGCTCTATTCTGGAACGTTGTAAACCAATTTAAGAAATGCTACAACCATGATGTCCATGATAGTAATACAATCCAAGCAGCCTATAATTATATGTCATTTAAGAAAGCCAAACAGGTGCAATGGCGTTGTACATGTTGTATTCTGTTCAGGTAAGTGATCATGTTAAGTCCAGTTAGACATCGCAGCAGCAGCAGTTCTTGTTGATTGTCGTACGTTGTTGTTGTTGTTCGCCCCCCCCCCCCTCCCAGTCCTGTTGTGTGCCTATAATATCAAGTTGTTCCATCTCTGGTGACGTGATAGTTCTCTACAACACAGGCCACATAGATCTTCAGTCCTGTGTCATTGG